CACTCTATACACTGTGCTCTGCCCCATACCATCCCACTCTATACACCCTGCTCTACCCCATACCATCCCACTCTATAAAAGGTGCTCTGCCCCATACCACCCCACTCTATACAAGGTGCTCTGCCCCATACCATCCCACTCTATACACTGTGCTCTGCCCCATACCATCCCACTCTATACACCGTGCTCTACCCCATACCATCGCACTCTATACACTGTGCTCTGCCCTTATACCATCCCACTCTATACAAGGTTCTCTGCCCCATACCATCCCACTCTGCACACTGTGCTCTGCCCTATACCATCCCACTCTATACACCGTGCTCTGCCCCATACCATCCCACTCTATACACTGTGCTCTGCCCCATACCATCCCACTCTATACACTGTGCTCTGCCCCATACCATCCCACTCTGTACACTGTGCTCTGCCCCATACCATCCCACTCTATACACTGTGCTCTGCCCCATACCATCCCACTCTATACACTGTGCTCTGCCCCATACCATCCCACTCTATACACTGTGCTCTGCCCCATACCATCCCACTCTGTACACCGTGCTCTGCCCCATACCATCCCACTCTATACACCGTGCTCTGCCCCATACCATCCAACTCTATACACTGTGTTCTGCCCTATACCATCACACTCTATACAGTGTGGTATGGGGTAGAGCCAGTGGCGTAAGAACCGTGGACGCGGCAGTGCAGCTGCCCCGGGTGCAGAGACGGGGGTGGGGGGGAGCCGGCCCCGGGCAGCGACAAGCAGGTTGGCCAGAAGGAAAACAATATTACATAGTTACATAGGCAGGAACGGTCTTTCCTGAACCCATGCTGATTGTCATCAGGAACAGGCAGATTGTCATATTGTAACAGGCAGCGATACCAGGGATTACGGGCAGCAATAAATCATAAATATTTTATAGAAAAGTACAAAAAAAGAATTGTAGTGACAGAAGAATTCCGGCTCTCAGAGCCAGGAGATGAAGCTGGGGAAGCAGATCTCTACTTCCTCAGCTTCTTTGGGGTCCCTAGGTGACATTAGAGGGCCTGTCACCCACTTTCTGCTATTGCATAGGGGGCTTGTTAGCAATAGGGTTAGTGTAAAACAAAAAAAAGTGTTTAAAAATGAAAAAAAAATTATTTAACATAAGAACAAATTGAAGAAAAATCCCCCAAAAAATTGTACGAGTCGCCACCCACGTGCATGCACATACACACACAAACAAGCGTCGGTGCGCCTACGCGCGAAAACGACAATTGCGCTACACATGTTACATATCGCCGCGAACGTTGGATAATTCTAGGCCCATCAATCACTGTTAGCACTAAATTGATGAGCCGTAAAAGTGTTTAAAGTGTCCCCTGTGGGAAATTTGGGGTATTGACTTTTTTTGTAGCTTCACGGGCGAACGCAATTTTAAGGCTTGATATGCTTGGTATCTATTCACCCGGCGTGACCCCGTCTTTTATATTTTACAAAAAAACTGGGTATTACATTATGTTTCTGTGCACTAAATTTTAATTTAGTTTATTTTTTCCTAAAAATAACGGTTTGTTAAACATTTGCGCAAATACTGTGCAACATAAAAAATTGCAACTAGCATATTTTTATTCTAAAGGGCCTCTGCTTTCAGAACATATATCATTGTTTGGGGGTCTGAAGCTGTTTTCTAGCCAAAAATTCAGATTTTATCATGTGTGCGCAAATGTAAGAAATAGTACCGGACGGCAAGTGGTTAAGGCCACAGATAAAAATTCCTAGAAACCCAGAACAAGTTGTCACCACCCTGCCCGGATTAGCAACATACCCGGGGGCCAGTTTCTCAGATTGAAAAGAAACTGCACAAAAGAAAAAGATTTCAGACAACAAGTAGGAATGTGGAAAAGCAGGTTTTTACAGAAGGTTTATAGTGAAAGGTTTCTGGATAATCAAATTGAAGAGGTAACCACTGTGCCTAGACAAGAGATTCTAAGAAACCAACAGGTCAGGAAAGTGAAGGATGATCCCAAAAGTGTTGTGGTCCTCGACTTCAATGCGCAATATAAAAAAGTTGAAAATATTATTAAGAAATATTGGGACAGCAAATCCTGACATGCTAATCTGTCACTCACTCTTCTCTTGTCTTTGTTCACCCCTGTTCTCTCTTCTATGTTCACTGAGCCCCTTTATTTTGTCCCCCTCTCCTTTCCCTTCTCTTTGGGTTCCCCTACTTTTTCCCATCTTATCCGGCATGACAACACCCTCCTGACAATAGTCCCCCGAAGCCAATATACTCTATATTGCCAAAAGTATTGGGACACCGCTCCAAATCATTGGGTTCAGGTGTTCCCATCCCCTCCGTGGCCACAGGTGTATATAATGAGGCACCTCGGCATGCAGACGCTTCTACAAACATTTGTGAAAGAATGGGTCACTCTCAGGAGCTCAGTGACTACAAGCGTGGTACCGTGATAGGTTGTCACCTGTGCAATAAGTCCATCCGTGACATTTCCTTGCTACTAAATATTCCGCGGTCACCTGTTACTGGTATTATAACAAAGTGGAAGCAACTGGGAACAACAGCAACTCAGCCCGGAAGTGGTAGGCCACGTAACATCACAGAGCGGGGTCAGCAAATGCTGAAATGCGCAGAAGTCGCCAACTGTCTGCAGAGTCAATAGCTACAGACCTCCAAACTTCGTGTGACCTTCAGATTGGCACAACAACAGTGCGTAGAGAGCTTCATGGAATGGGTTTCCATGGCCGAGCAGCTGCATCCAAGCCTTACATCACCAAGTGCAATGCAAAGCGTGGGATGCCGCGGTGTAAAGCACGCCGCCACTGGACTCTAGAGAAGTGGAGACGTGTTCTCAGGAGTGACCAATCACGCGCTTCTGTTATGTGCTTGTAAAGGCCGGCGTCCCAATACTTTTGGCAATATAGTGTATGTGCAACTAAAACAAGGAAGCTGATTACCTAGGCTTTGGAAGGCCGGACTTAAGAGGAGCAGCGATGTGCACCTGCAGACCTGTCAGGGAGCTGACTAGCAGCAAACTCATCACAAAAATTCCATTATTTAATGTGCTGATATTTTATATCACTAGCCTCACAATGTGAAGTTGGCTTCAGGGCCTGGCCAGAAAAATACCAGCCATATAGTAAGTAACCCAAAGTGATCATTTGGTGTATTCCTGTACTCCAGCATGGCAATATCTGGTTTAACATTTAAAGAGGAGAAACAATAGCCCATGCCACACCCTATACTACAACAAGCATTACGTCATAACATTATACATCAATGTACTGCAGAGCCATCTAGTGCTCCTGGCGGCACATGAGAGCTGCAGATAGACGTTCATATCTACGTTGTAAGATCGAGATGTCAGGTGAGCAGTTTATTGTGGTGCTAGAAGTTCTTGGTGGTAACTGGCCTGTCCATTTCTGAGTGTAGTATGACGGGAGAGCTTTGGAGGCAGAATTCCAGTTGGAGATGTATGTGGTCCAGTATATTGGTGACAAGAACATTTTAGTCTGGAGTTATGAAGGACATATCACAAACTTCAAGAACAATGCAATCAGGTGCGTAACAAGAAATCACAGGGCCCCATAGCAAAATTTTATGATATATGATATGATATACCAAACAGCCCACCTAAGAGTGACCCTGCAGAGCCCGCCATAGACTCTCTATGGTGGGCTCTGCAGGGTCTCAGGTGGGCTGCACACTTTTTACCTGTCAGCGCTGTCTGCCTCCGTGGTCACCGGGCCCCACCTCCTCTTCCGTCCCCGGGCCCCGCCTCCTCTTCCGTCCCCGGGCCCCGCCTTCTCTTCCGTCCCCGGGCCCTGCCTCCTCTTCCATAGTCGGGTCCTGTCTCCTCTTCTATCGATGGGCCCCGCTTCATCTTACATCACTGGCCCCTCCTGCTCTTAGGTCGCCGGGCCCCGCCTCCTACTTCACTGCAAAACCCCGGGTCAAGCCTCTTCTGCAGCAGCTGCTGGCTGTCACTGACACAGCTCAGGAGTGGCTTGGAGGAGGGATACGCCACTGCACACATCACTTCACAGCCGCCAGTGACAGCCAGCACCCTGATATGCCATAGCGACCCAGGCGGCCCACACGGCATCAGAGGGATGCCCTGGCCAGGCAGCCCCATAGCGGCTGACTGGGTCGCAGTGGCGATTGTTACGCCACTGAATGCAATTATGGTACATTCTACTCAGCCGTAATGGACAATGTGTGTAAGTATTAAAGGCCACATATTCATCTCAACATCTCAGAACATGTGCAAAAGACTTTTTAGTTTGGCTGTGAGGAAAAGTATTTCATGATGAGCTTCTTCAGAGCCCGTTTCACATCTTGGTTCCTTAAACTATAAATGAAAGGATTCAGCATAGGTGTGATGATGGTGTAAGCCATGCTGACAATGCGGTCATACTGGGAGGAGTAGTCTGATGGTGGGCGGAAGTAAATGGAAATGTCACTACCATAGAACAAGCAAATGACCATGAGATGAGAAGAACAGGAGGAGAAGGCTTTGCTTCGGCTGCTGCTGGTCTTCATCTTCATAATAGCCCATCCAATGAGCACATAGGAGATGAGTATGAAAAGGAATGGAACTATAACAGCCATAGACCCTTCAGTGTATATTAAGAGCTCAGCCAAAGTGGTACTGGAGCAGGACAGTTTGATGAGGGGGGTCAAATCACAGAAGAAGTGAGGGATCAGCCTGTCCTCACAGTATGCTAACTGTGACAGAATGTAAGTGTGCAATATTGAATGCGCAGCTCCTGCCACCCAACAGATACCACCCAGCATGACCATAACCCTATCATTCATTAACAATATATAGTGTAAGGGGTTACAGATAGCCAAACATCGATCAAAAGCCATGACTGCCAGAAGAAGACTCTCAGTGGTGCCGAGAAACAGAAAGAAGAACATCTGCAGGAAACAGCCAAGGAAGGTGATTGAGGCTCTTCCATAAAGAATGCAGGACAATAGCTTGGGAACCGTCACGTTAGATAAAAAGATGTCCACTACTGACAGGTTCCCCAAGAAAAAGTACATGGGCGTGTGCAGCTGTGGAGAAAGTTTAATAGAACTTACTAGAACTAAGTTAGCCGTCCATGTGAGGACGTATATGACCAGAATGGTGGCGAAGAGAGCTGCACGGTTACAGTGAAAGTCTGAGAAGGCCAGAAGAACAAAGCCGGAGGTTAGATTGTCTTTTTCCATCTAGAAATGAAGATGGTCAGCCAAAGTGTCTTAACATTTCTTCACGATGATATAAAAGTAGATACTGAATTCCATGAATGTGGATCCGATTGTTCTTCTTTATGCGCCTTTCTCTGTTACGCCATTCCTGACAATGGACATGAGGAACAGTCTTTTATATACTAATGTGTCACCCTTTCTTCAATCTAGAAGCACTTCCTTTGGGAGACGGTTCTTTCTTCTCTCTGTCCTCACAGTTCCATGACTTTGTTTCCTATGCAATGAAATGAAAGTAAACTTGGAGTCACGAAACAGAAAGAGAACTGACACTCAACCCAAAATGCAGCCTGTATCAGATATGGTGTCACCAAGACAGGAAGGCATTCACTAGATGTAAGATGTTCTAACTCTTCCCCACTGTGTTTTCTTTGTTTCTTGTTGGGGAGATTTTTCATCACTTTCTATCCTGGCAGGAAGTGTGTGCGGTGGTGGGGAACTTGGGACACTGGCAGCAATACAAACCTATATGGATGTGTAGAAGGAAAGAGGTGCCAGATCCTTATTGTTTCTATTGCCTCACACTATCTGAGTGAATCTGTTCTCCAGGATGTTTAGAATGTTCTTGATGAAGCTGCTCCCACACCAAACCGGGACCTACCAGGCAGACAGAAGGGGCCCAGAGTAGGCTCACATGCAAACCAAAGGGAGCATCACTATAATTTGATAGAGTCCAGAGCAGTGGCGTAACAATAGCCATAGCAGCCCATGCAGCTGCTATGGAGTCTAGGGATGGAAGGGGGCTCCATTCAATTTTGCCAAAGTTGCTTCTGACATTGACCCTGTACCCCCTGTGACATTTCCAATGTGGTTGCTATGGGGCCTGGGGATGGAAGGGGGGTCCCATTAAGGATTGCCAAAGTTGCTTCTGACATTGACCCTGTACCCCCTGTGACATTTCCAATGTGGTTGCTATGGGGCCTGGGGATGGAAGGGGGGTCCCATTAAGGATTGCCAAAGTTGCTTCTGACATTGACCCTGTACCCCCTGTGACATTTCCAATGTGGTTGCTATGGGGCCTGGGGATGGAAGGGGGGTCCCATTAAGGATTGCCAAAGTTGCTGCTGACATGAGCGTGTACATTTCCAATCAAGAAGAGCTGACATCAGATGTACAGGAGGAGACAATGCAGACAACTGTCCTGCTCCCTAACTTTAATATCATTGACAGTAGGAAGGTCACCCGGGGGGTCCCATCATAATATTGCTACGGGGTCCCATCATCTACAGTTACGTCCCTGGTCCAGAGCCATAGTTTAATTAAAAGGATCCAAACAGCCAACAGGGGGTCCACAAAATCTCCCTTCATTAGGGCTCGTTCACACGAGATGCAGTGCGTTCCGGCCCAATTCTGGCCAGAACGCACTGCATCGCATTGCGGCCGGCTCACTTTTTTGTGGGGCAGGAGGGGGCGTGGCGGGCCATTGAAGTGAATGGCACCGTCACCACACCCTCCGGCCGCAATGCGATCGGCCGCACGGGATGGCAAGGCACATTATGCCTGCGGTCCGGTCCGATACAGTGTGATCAAAATAGTGCTTGCAGCATTTTGATCGGACCGGACCGCAGGCATAATGTGCCTTGCGATTCC